TTTTCATCATAACATGTTTGTTTCATTCTATGCTGCTGTTTTTTGCTATATGTATGAAATTTTTCGTATTTCTTTAAACAGCTTGAAGTTTACTTGTATTTTACACCATATTACTGTGATTTTATTACATACAACCTTTCTATAACACTTTTGTATGAAACATGTAAATGTTTTGTTTTATCTAATTATTTAAGTGTATTTAAATACATAATAATATTTTTAAATTCTCTCTTTGTATTTGCTATTGATTTCATCTTTGTAATTTTGTTCTCTATATACATATATACATCAATAAATTATTTCCCTTTCTCTGCCCCCTATATACTGTTAAGAGCCATTATTTGAATTAAGAAAAATTTCTTGTTCATCTATGTGAAAAACATAGGGAGAAATGTGAGTGAAAGCAAATAGTAGAATATCATGGGTAATGGGTGTAAAGTTAAAAAATATCTTGGGTAAGAGATATGAAAGAAATTAAAAATTTACAGAAATGTCACTTTTTAATATTTAAGTTTATTTTTATGTGGAATCCCAAAATTGCTGTATACTTTAAAGAGAGCTTTTGCTTGTATCTATTAAATGATCATATACATGTCTGTTCACTGTTTCTCTATTGTGCATTTTGGAAGTTGAATATGTATTATATTAGATGCTGATGAAAATGAAGGATGTTACAGAATAAAGATTATAGCTACATCTCTTGTTCCATTAGGTGCTAGTTCCATATTTCCAGTTACAAATTAAAATCCAGTTAGAAAAATTAGGTAATGATGAGTTCATATTTATGAAAGTTATTTCTATAAAAATTTGAAATTTAAATTTTTGAATGACTTCTAAAAAAATCAGTTGCCAATAAATAAATAAAGGACAAATTAAACTTTAAAATGATAAAATTAATTAGGTATTGTTATCTATGTTAATAATAGTGTGCAATGAGGAAAATAATTTCCTGCCTCTTGTAACTAAGAATGAGAAAAGTTTTAGATGGCTTGTTTTCAAAGATCATATAAAGATTACAGCATTTGAATTTGAACGAGCATTTTACTAAAATGATTTGTTCCAGGTAATAAAAAGTGGAAATTATGCATATGTTTTTATGCATTCACTTTTTTGCAAGTTTGTGAAAATGTGTAGCTAATAACAATTCTTTGGTGATAATTTTTTAAGTGCATACCTTTATTATTATAGTTTTGTTTCATTAATAAAAAAATATGCAGAGTCCCCCTTTCCATTTATTATATATTTATGTATATACTACTATTAGGGCTACGGAAAAATTGCTGCCTGCATCTTTAGGCTTATATTTCAATTGATGAATGCAATTCAACTGCAATAACATTATCTTAGAAATAAAATTATATTTATGGTACTTTTTTGTGTCTTGCTTAAAGGTATCTTTAAATAATTCAGAAAAATTGTTTCTCGGTATTATTATTCAATATAACCAAATTTGTGGTTAAAAAATAATTCTAAGCTTTTGCAGCATAAATGTGATAATTAAAACTTACCTTTAGTTTCTAGTAAAACTTTGTTTTCAGTGTTTGAAAGGAGTTAAGAATTTTGTCTCTAATTTACCACAGAAACAAAAATTCATATATTACGAGTAGTATTTTTGCTGATTTTGCATTTCAAAAAATGGAAAAAGGAAGAAGTAATATGTCTGCTAGATAACTGTGCTGCAGATCATACTAATCTCATTCTAGAAAACATTAAATTAGTATTCCCTCCTACTAATACAGCTTCTTTCATTCAGCCTTTAGACTAGGCTATTAGAAAATCTAAAGTTACAAATTGCTTTCGAAAATGTGGCTTTTATTTAGGTGTTTCAGAAGTATTGCAAGAAATAACTAACGCTTCGAAAATCAGTGAGGAATGTTCGGTAGAACGTTGCAAATGACAAAAATATTGAAATAACATCTGAAAAAAAGTCTCTACAATATTATAGTATCTATTAAAAGAACTGCAGAAACTGAAACTGGCAGAGAAGGTGATGCGGAAGAAAACGAGGACGTGACAATTTCAATTTAATCTCGAAAAGCATTTCGAATGATAAGAAAAATTCTTAAACCAAAAGTTAGAAAGTAGAAAAGTTACCAACAGTTTTACGAACTTTAGAATATTATTCAAAAATTGTTGATGAATAATACGAAACCAAAATAAGTCCGGTTCTTTGTAAAATTTTGAAGATTCACCAAGTATGTAATTATAAAAATATATGTTGTAACAAAATTCGGAATTGCGTTAATAGTTTAATTTTAGCATTATTTTTTTATTATTATTCTAGTATTAATTATTAGGTCAGTTGTTAATTATTATCTTTAACTAAGTAAGTTTAATATCACAGTTTGCAATTCACAAATAGCCATCTATTTCAGTCAGACATTTAATAATTTCAAATATGTTAAGAATGGAAGTAACTTTAATACGCGATGAGTAACTGTAAACTAATGGAAAATAGCATTTCGTATAACGAATGAATGTCATCATTGAACGGAATGCAAGACACCGCTGTATAACATAAATATTAACAAATTTGCTGTCTTTAAGTGATGCTTGATAAGGCATGTATGGCTATGATATTCTTCTGCTAATTTAATCTAATTTTACCTTTAATGTATCAGTGCAAAATGGACATTGACCTACATGTTTAACATGGGAATAGTAAACTATCAGGGCTGAAAATTTTAGTGAACTTTTTTATCTGTATCATAGAAATAAAATTCAATCATCAGTAGTAATTAATGTGAGGTGGTTTAAATGTTTAGTTTTAAAAAAGAAAAATAAATTCCAAAAATTATGCACTACATTTAATTCCCGATTAACCAGACCTTGTCTGGAAAAGTGTTAGGTTCGTTTATTGGCAAACGGTTAAAAATTGCTATCATAAACCATTAGAATAAAGCAAAATTTTTGTGAGAAATGCAAATTGGAGAAGAAGGTGTGAAAGATAATAACAACGATAGCCAATAATATCGTAAAGTATATATGAATTATTATATACAACAATACATAATTTAATTATACATAATCTGAAATAAATATTGTTAAATCATCCACTAAAAATTAATTGCTAAATCACAAAAATCAATTAAGTGTACAGCTCTAAATCTTCTGTTTCCCATACACTCCTGTCGAAATACTAAAGCAGTGGTTGTCAACCTGTTCTGCCCCACACATCCCTTTCACCATTACTAGAAGATCATTCATCCCCTCTTCCTTTCCAAACGTTAATTTTCTATTTGCCGCTGAACGTGATAGATTAAAGTCTAATTTGAGCAAAACGCGGTATTCATTTTGCTTGCCAAGGACATTTACTGTTCTGATTTCATTGAAAAATTATCATGGTGAATCCGTCAGTTCGAAGTTATGAAAAAATTTAGGCATTTAGATACTTCCAGCCGTTGCTGGCTTTTTGCCACCCGACGCAAATTCTGTGGCTTTGGAATTCTGTCGCCATATTCCATTCTAAATTCCAAAAAATTTGCCGTCTAGTGCGACCCTGCTTCCATTTAATTAACTCTTAATCATCAGCATTGTTATCAAAGGGAGCAACAGTCCTATTAACCCTTTTCGATACGCTACCTTTTAAATTTGGAATTTTGATTTTAAAAAAAGGGGTAGGCAGTTTAATTAGGCCTAGAGGAATACACAAGTAAAATTTTGTAAAGATAGCACTTATCGTTTTAATTCTGTGGGTGTGCCCGAAGCGGGCACGCTGATTGAATAGAGCTTCGAAAAGCGTGCTGAAACGAGCATTGCTAGGAAGCATGTGCAAGAGTAAGAGATTTTTCCTATGATTAAAAAACGCTAGATTCTGAATACCATAACAGATTTAGCATTACCCAGAGTGTGCCACGGGGAGATCCACTACTCTACACCCCCCAAAAAGCTCATTTTTGGTTATATGATGATTACATGCTTATGAATGGAAAAAAAGTAAATTGGGTAAATGATATTTACATTTCATATTTACACTTTATCCTATTTTTTCATCGTAGTACTTTTCGAAGAAAGTGACACCACCTTTAAAAAAGCACAATCCAATATTGTATGTTTTGCACATGTCCCGGGATCTAGATCAGATTCACAATCTGAAAGCAATTTGTGTAGCACTTTCAGTGCTTTAGAAATGATCAGCCCTCTCACCCGTTTGGAAAATAATTAAAAATCCGAAAAAAATAAACTAATATTATATCTACAATTTGAAATTATAAAATAAAAATATAAATGTCTACAACTCAAAACTATTAAATGTAGCTTATTTGAACCAAAGGGAAAGAGAACTGCTCTAGTGAAAAACCATGATAAAATTATTAACTTGTTAAAATTATCCCTGACATTCAGAAAATCACTCCAACAATTTCTTAGTTAATAACCAAACCTCCCCTCCGGAAAAAAAAAAAAAAAAAAAAAAACAAAAAAAAAAAAAAAAAAAAAAAAAAAAAAAAAGGGGGGAAGAAGAAAGAGAAAAACAGGGAATGAAACACAGATGTGGACCCACCTTTCTATGTTAATGAGCTGCAGAGAAACAAAGATACAGCTGCCTCTCAGTGACCTAGACTCGCAGTGAGCCCAGTCTGGGCAAACCTCTTCACCGTTCGATTTTAGGCAAGATTTCAAGGTAAAAATTTAAAACTAATATAGAATAACGACATTAGCATACAGCTAAAAAAATAACATTGAAATTTCCTTTTAAACTCAAAAAAAAAAAAAAAATCTGGAAGATTTCTTTTAAAAACGATGGTTTAAAAATCTAGACATGGCTAAAATATACGGACTGGTTTGTGTTGAGCTGCCATCTACTATAAGGAAGGTTCAGAGTAACCTATAGTAACCTTCTTTTTGAATTTTTCTGTGCGTACATAAAGAAATTTTTAGTTGTGCCCAGACCAGGCACATCGTGCCGCAAAGGGTTAACCAAAACATAATCAGCTAGGATGTCATTATTTAAGCCATACCCTCGTAAATTTTCAGTGTCTGTTGCAAAAGTACATGGCCAAGAATCGCAATAATCTTTTTCGACAAATCCGAACAGGAAATGACTATTCTGGCGGCAAGAGCACGCGTTAGCCTTTGTTCTACCGTGTTCATTAGCTGTTTTCACCTATTAAACTAAATGTATAGAATTGAGGGCCACCTAACATTCACAACTGATAATTACATTTTATTTCTATGCTTCTAGTAAAAACAATTTGTTGAAATTTTTAACCGTGTTGGTTTGCTATTGCAACCCAGCCAGTAGCGCCTCGCCTTAGCATACGTTATCCTTTGCTGGCGTTTGCTACACAGTATTGGCGATGTATCATGAGATTGCTGGCTAAAGACTGTGGGAGACGAAAGAAATTAACAAAACTACGAATTTTACATAATAAATTTATTCAATCTTGGGACCAATATTTTATATCATTTATGTGAATGATTTCCCTAATTTTAATGATGATAATACCTCGCTTATTTCCTGGCTTGCTATGCTGATGATACCGCGATAGTTTCGAAGTCTAGGAATCTAAATCGTGTACTGGAATGCATTCAAGAAAAAATCCCTATCATAGAGCGCTGGTGTAGCAACTGGAAAATTAGGATCCAACCTGAGAAGTCAAAAATTCTCCTAATCAGAAAATTCCGCAAAAGGGGCGCAATTAAGAAAGAACCAGAGCTCTTCGGAACCCAGGTTCCTAGAGTCAGTGCTGCCAATTATTTAGGCGTCGCCCTAAATAAGGACTTCACCTGGTCCAACCACATGATTAAAGTGTGTGGAAAGGCACGTTAGGCATGTCTCATTAGTCATGTGGTACGTTAGTAATATCATGGTTGTCAGGCTTTTCCCCGCTGCTCAAAAGAAAAGAACTCGCTGAACTAAATCTGAAAATGAGACTTTACCTCTCGATCATAAGACCTATTGTTACGTATGCTTTCCCCGCCTGGGCAAACGCTAGCGAAAAGGACATTAAAAAACTTCTGGCTCTCCAAATAAGACTGTAAAAGTCATCACAAACGCTTCCTATTTCATTCGAAATAGAATTCAGATCTGAAGATTGAATCTGTTAAAAAATTCATCAGTAAGATAAATGAAAATTTCTTCAGCAGATCTATAAGAAAAAACCCTGCAAACTTCGCTGACATCCTGGCCTGTGAGGTTCTGGAGGTGGATATACTTATGCTGCTCATTTGCTTCACTCAAACCCATACAGCCACGATAACCAGTGATTACACAAAACTTCTGTGCACTGATAGTTTTCTGTTGAAAATTGTGGTTCTTCAAAATTACGACTCTGAAAGACTCCATCATATAAAACAGAATTTTCTGTGTGTTTTAAATGGTCTTTATATATAGTTGTAAATAATCCCCACATCTCAGGCTTCGTCGAAGAAACTCTCCCAAGCCTCCGGTATACTTTCAGGAGGCAAAGTACTCCAATTTTCTTCCCTGACAAATTCACCTCATCTAGGGCATATATTTAATTGCGGATTTCACAAAGGTCAGGCCCTGAAACAGAATCTCTAAATTATTGGCAAGAGCAGGGGAAAATATCTCCTGTTGTATGCCAGTATACCGACGAATGTATCAACTTTTTCATCTTATTATTGGATCCCTTTGGTTTCTCCCAGCAACAGATTTTATTAGCCGCAAAGTTTGTACCAGGTGGTAAGAAGCCTATCGCCGAGCCTGATAACAGTGGTGGTGTATAGGGTGCTATGCATTTTGCAGACCAGTGGAATTTTTGTGGATCCTAAATTCTTAAAAATTTTGCCATGCCTAAATTTTGCTCCTTCACTAAATTCTAAAAATTTTGCCGCTCTCAAACTTTTCCTCTGGTAACGGTTCTGATCGGGTATAAATTTGTATAGGTTAGTTATATTAGTGTAGCTGAATTGGTATGTAATATAATTATTAGAATTTGCGCGTTCTAAAATAATTTTCACACGCATAAAATAATTTATGGTCCGCTCAGTTTTCTACACCTAAATATGGAAATGAGTTCAAAATGTTTGGCAGACTGAAAAGTAAAATATGATTATAAATTAATTGATTTCTTTTTCTGGATAGAATAACTGATGTTGGTTACCATGTTGAAATTTATCTGATGCATTTGGGTGCTATGAATAAAATATTTTTTAAATTTAGAATTAAAAAGTAAATAAATGAAAACAACCTTCCGATTTAGAGGAGGGGGAGGGTTAACAATAAATAACAATTAATAAATCATCTTCGAAATTTCATGTTATTCCGCAGGTCGACTGAAAATGATGGCTAGAAATTTTAATTGCTTAATTTTTTATCCTAGATATACACTTCCACTTCAGAAGTTTCTTTAAATGGATAAAAAGTTAATATACTTTTAATGCTGCACGGCTAAGTATGTTCTATAGAAATAAAATCTAACTTTTTATATGAATTCTGCTGAAAAAAGTTTCCAATTATCTTTCAATATATTAAAAATAAAAAATTCCATACCTTTTCACTAAGAATTAGTAGAAATATGTTCGTCAAATTTTTAAATGATGTTTACCCTAGACCGGGGGGAGGGAATTCGGTCAGTATTTTACTATTCAGCTGTTAAGTATTTGTTTTGGTTTATGAATTATAAAAAATATGTATTTGAGTTTCTGATATTTATGAACATTTTCTATACTTTTTGGTGTTTTACGAAACACACTAAAAAGTAATTTATATCGAAACAAATGTATGTATGTATTTTTCGAGTTTTGGAAAGGTGGGGAATGATCTTTCAGTGATAATGAAAGGTGTGTATATGGCAAAAAATGTCATCGACCACTGCCCTAGATTAATCGCCAAAACTTTTGCCAAAAAGTCGCCAAGAAGAAAACTTCGTTTTTGTACTTGTTCCATAGATATGTTCTCAGACGTATGTAAAAGAAAAGTGACTTACTGTATGGAGTAAGTAAATTCTTTCTAGAATGTCTGTATGAAATTTACTCATAAAAATATGAAACTTTTAGTTTTCATAAAAGCGTAATTAGTATTTTGCTAATTTCAATTTTTTGTATTGTAAAAAATTTAATTTTGTTTTTATAGAACCATAGGGTTAAAGACACCGTATTCCAAGAAATATTGTAATTAGAAATGCGTGCCTGTGATCAATAAATATAAAAGAAAATTTTTAAAAAAGCCTTTGAATACTTTTTTTTAGCACCATCCATTTTTATGGAGTTTCTTTATAATTAAAAAATTACAAAAGAAATTTTTTGCTTGCACTCCTTTTACAAATACTTTCTGATTTGCTACATACACACGTTGCCAAAATCAAAAATGACGTATACAGTTGAAAGGTTTAGACTAATGGGACTAAGCAGTGGTATTCAGACAATGGGTCTCGACCCCATTTGTGGTCGGTTGAGAATCATAAAAAATCTGAATTGATGGTATATAACTAAGGGTCAACGCCCTGAATTAAAGTTGCGAAATTATTTTTGAGGTCGTTTGCATTGTTACGGAGTTGTACCGTTGTACTAATTTAAATGCCACTGGATTAAGGCAAAGCATCTCGAGAGCTATTTGCCCATCAGGAGGGGGCCTTCGTGGAATACATTTTAAAGGAAACTGGCTGCTCGTTATACACGTTTCAAGCCCCACGTTATATATGGAGAAATAACCTGCATATATGCAACCTGCTCGTTCACCAGAATTCGAAGTCAGGTTGAACTACCAGTGTTCAGCGACTTTACCACTTGGATGCTGGTAGACCATATATAGGTCAAGGACAATTTCTACAAAATTCTTCAAAAAGAATTTGCGCCCAACAATGGTTGAGTGGGTATGGCTATTGATCATTAGTAGTTAATGCAAGTTTTGCTCCGCGAACGATCCGGGTTAACTGCATAATATTTTCATGATTTTTTTTTTTTTTTTTTTTTTTTGCATAACGTGAAATCGAGCCGGTTTCCGTTAGAAAATCCCCCATGAAGGTAAAAGCCTTTGGGCACTTTGCCATTATCAGTTAGTTAATCATAAAATGAACTCACATTTATCAAAACGGATAAATTACGTTGTAATATAAAAAAGTGGCATATCGTTATTTATCAAGTCCAATTTTTCTGTTGCTTATGGACGTATAGTTTATATTACTCATCGGTAATGAAAAATCGAGCTTTATTGAAGCAAAGAAAACAAGTTCATCTGAAAAATACGCGGTATAGGTATGGCCTGAAGGCGGTACAGGCATAAAAATCCCTTTATATCAACATAAGAATTTTGCGTGTATTCTACGAAGAGATATTTTAATATGTTTATATAACAAAGCCGTACTTTTAAAATGTTGTGATTTTAATGAAATTCCTGTTTCCTTTCTGCATGATAGAATTATAGTTAGCCTACTTTTGGGAATTTTATTGGTTTCGTACCATGCAAAATTTCTAGATTTAAAATACTGTTCATATTTAGTAAGACGAAGTAAATTAAAGACGTAAATAAATAAAAGTGTAAACATTTATATAATCCTTACAGAGTTTTAACTTTTGCAAGTGTCACCGCAGAATATCATAGAATTGCTAATTAATTATATTTCAATAATTCTAAAGGCAAAGGATGAAGTATTACTGCAATAGCTTTCATAACTTGTAAATAAAAATTATTTCGAAAAAAACTGAAAAGGAAATTTGCTTGTAAATTTGTATTAATATCTTATGCGATTATTTTTTATTGTTTGGAATAGCTTAACGACAGATGTGAATAATAAATCAAAATCACTTTTGCCTACCATATTTTGTTTATTTTTCGACCTTCTGCTTTTCTAAGTACGACTAATTGTAGGCAAACCCTAGGTGGTTTTTCACATTTGGCTATTTATGGTTTTCTTGCTGATTATTTTAAAAGCTAGGGAAACCACGACACAGAACAATGCAAGTATCTTAGGGGTAGTTATGCTAACTGAGTGTAATCATCATTTAAAGTAAGTTGCGCTTTTTTTTTTTTTTTTTTTTTCTAAGAAAAGTATTTTCGTAAACAGCGTCGCGAAAATTCTGTAAAATGAAACATATTTTTTTCGAATGAGAAATAAATTTAAAGCATTTGTTTGTATGAATGTGTTTATTATGTACATTTGTTATTTTCGATTTGTATTTTTCACATTGTATTAACAGTATTCAATTTCAGCGAATAATTAATTTTAAAAAGCGGTAAGTAAGAACAGCCGTAATTTTAACGCCTTTTCTAATATTACTGGTCAAAAGCTGCCGTTCCGATAACATTTATCATTTTCAAAAATAAAGTGGCAATATCATCACTATCGTTTGCTTGAGTTTGTTTTAAGAATCTGATTTAGTTATTACACTTTCTACTACTATTAAAATTATCGTTTGTTTATATATGGGGTTTTGAAAATAGGTGAAAATAAAAGTGGCAACTTGATCGCTGTTTTGATCACGAATGCTTCGATTTTGTTTAAAAAATTTCTCTTACGCCTTTTTCGGAATTTTAAGTGAATTTTTTTGCATTTTGTGTCGAAAAAATATCGTCTACTGTAATACGCCTGATATACAGTAAAAGTGTTAGGATATTTCTGGCGCAGTAGATTGAAAATTACTTGAAATCTACTTAGTGAGTAAATTTTTATTTGATCAATTTTTAACACGTATTTTTTTTAATATGAAATATTTTTCTATACATTTGGTTTAAATTATTTTTATTATAAGAATTAATATTTGTTTTTTATAATGATTAACGTACTTTTACGTCTTCATCCTATAAATCTAGGTTACTAAATTTAAATTATAAAGAATTAAAAAATATTATGATTATTATTTAATATACATGAATTCATTATAATATATTAGTTAATATCAGAAATAACAGTCGTAGTCTTCAGTGCTTTGCTTATTAAATTACCATATGAATGAATCAGCTACTATATTTGTGAATTAAGAACAGAGGGTGCTTTTTTATGTCTTGTGTAATCAAATTAAAACATATCATCGAATCTTTCTGAAATTAAAATTAATGTTCATTTAAAAAGAAAGGAAAGTTGTGGAATTTCATTTTAAAAGAAATCTGTCTTAACAAATAGTGTAGTATTTTTGTTATGAAAGTCGCATGTGTATCAAGCTAATGTAATAAATTTAGTATTTTTTTTTAATGTAAAAGGATACTCATTTTAGATATTTCTAATATAATTCCTATTTTATACATTTATTGTTTAAAAAAAGTTTTAGTTTATATTAACTTGCCTATACATTCTTTTCTTTCAATTTGGGTACAGAGTTCATTTCTCAGTCTTTATATAGGTACTTATAAAACGATGTATGTTAGAATTGTGTATATGTAAATAATTTAGTCAAATTATATGTGAAGATCTAGTATTTTTTGAATAATGTAACATGAAATGCTTGAAAGAGAAGATGCTCTGCCGGAAAAATAAGAATACAGGGGCAAGTCCATTTAATTTTGAGTAAATGGCTATCTCGCTTAAACCGTAACTGGCTGTCATATGCCTTCCAGTAATATCGAGAAGTGGAGAGTGCTGGAGATTTCTCGGTGGGCCGGAGAAAACTATATAAGACTGAGGAGAGCATCAGTTTAACAATAGTTGTTAGTTCAGAGAGACTTCGGAGTATTGAGATATCTGTAGCACCATTGCCTTTTTAGCTGCGCTGTGTTTTCCGTTCTGAGAAAGTGCAGAATCGGCCACTGCTTGGCGCGATTTTAAGAATTGCACATACTCGGTATCCATGTGCACATCGACATATTTTCACTTAAAAAAACATCCCAGAATTGCACAAAAATGGCATTGTGCATTCCCTTGACTTTATCTATGTACACATCAACCTACTTCAGCATTTCGTTCTTAGCAGTTTGAAGTGTAACTACTGATTGCACTATGTGATACCGAGGAGAGCTGTACGAGTGTTTTTGTGGAAAGTTCCAGGACTGTAAAGTGTTTCTTTTGATAAAAATTAATTTTATCAAGATGTCATCTGTTCTGTGTGCATTCAAACCGTTATGAATCTGTACGCACGAAACAGTATATTTATTTGTTTCATTCTTTTACAACCTTCCATTAACTTTATATTTTTTCTAAACGTGACAGTCACGTAGAAGGAATGCCATCTTCACATATGAATAATATTTCGAGAAACAAAGGAAGCCATTATGGAAAGAGAGGAGAGGTTGTATAAATTTTCTACGAAAAACAAAACTTTTACGACCAGGAAAATGTAATTCAAAAAAATTCCGCAAATTTCTAAATTACACAGTTATATGCAAAGACATGCACGATTTGATTATTAATAATTGACCTTAATTAACATTTGACGTTTTTCGAAATAAATGCATTACGAAAGGAAGCGAAAATTTTCTTTACAAACTAACTCGTGTACTATAGAGTAGCTTTAAATGTATGCAGTATTTTCGGACCTTTTTTTTAGGCCGAGACCCTTTAACAGCTAAAAATGTAAGGTATTCTCACAATAAAACTTTTTCGAAAGTAGAGGGCGCTACTTGGCAGTAGCGCAATACATGTAAGTAGAAACGAAATATCGTTTTGATTAGGCAATATGATTTCTGTGAAGGTAGTCCGCCTAACAGGCAATATGATTTCTGTGAAGGTAGTCCGCCTAACAATAGGACAGTCGTAAATATGTGAATATAACGGGTAATAAATAGCACTAGAAAAACTGAACCACCGGATGCTTTGTGTTAGCTTTTCGGGCCGCCATAGTTAAATGCAGGTTCGTTACAAGAGGTGGGGGAGAGGGTTTCCAATTAAATTTCTCGCAGTTCGTATCCTACCAAATTTTTGTTCATGAAAATATTTCCATTATAATGCGGATTGAGCTGTCATCTTTCATTTAGAAATATAATACTCAATTTATGATTAATTAAATAAGTTCTTATTGTGGATACACTTACCTAATACAATAGAAACTTCAATATAAAAACATAAT